GACTTACCGACGATCCCACCAATCTTGGACTGTTTTCTTCTGCTTTCGGCCTCCGTTCTCGACTGCAACCGTTTCAATGTTTTTCCGTTTCAATTTCTCTAAATCCTTCTGCATCTCGTTCCAATCCTCAACTCTTATCCACTTGCTGCAAACGCATGTCCAGCGCCCTTCCTCTTGCCCCCTAAATCCCTTTGCGCTCTTCCCATTCGTCTTCGTTCTGACTCCTGATCGAACCGCCTTTCCCTTATTGAGAGCAAGTTGCACGAAATCGGAGCTAAAATATCTCCAGCATCGCAGTCGCTGCAGTTCGCCCTTCCCCTTCTGGATCTCGAGCTGAACCAAATTCCAGACACGTGGAACAGTCTCCATAATTGAATTGCTTCCAATTAACGACGCGTCATTTCGTCCGTTAACATTTCGGAGATAGTGACACAGAAGGAACGGAACGAGTCCATCACTATCCACGCATCCAGACTCTTTTCCCGATGAATCCTTCTGTAACCGCCGGAATCCGAATGTCGCAGAACACCGCATATGTTGGGACAGGTGAATCATGACTGCTGACATAGCTGATGTAATAGTGCCCTTCTCGATCAGAAGAGGCGATTCTTGTAGAAACTGAAGAAGGTCGAGCGCTCGAGAGCTTATTCGTTTACTCATGACGAAATCGGAACATATTTCGCAGATTCTTAATGCAAGAAAGTGAAGAAATATCAGGGACGCAAGGTGCGAAGCCTCTTTTTTTTTAGACACTGTTTTCTTGTTTTGACCTTCTTTTGTTTCGATTTCGACGCCGCAACAGTCTTGAAACGTCTCAACTATCTCCACAACCGACTGAAATCCTCCACACTCGATAAGGTTCTGGCAAACAGTTTTGAGTGATACACTGAAGCTGTGGGATGAGTCATTGCGATTCTCCGCGTTGAATGCAAGCGCGTCTCCATCATTCAATCGATCAGGAAGAGGAAGTGCAAGAATGAGATGAAGGGACTGCTGAATGAGATGGGAAGGACAAGACGAATCGGAAAGCTTCTTTTTATGAGAACAACGGTCAATGACCACGCTGAGTGTCCCATAAAAATCGTGACGTGCTGGCCAAAGAACTGTTCCAAGATGCGACATCGGAAGACTTGGTTTTGAATGATCGAAAAATGAAGAAAGAATTGAAGCGATTGAAACGCACGCAGAAAGAACTTTCGTGTCATGCGATGGAGACTCAGCGGTACTTGACTCCCCAAGTGTCTGTGGATAATCAAATGAGAGGCGTCTTGATTGATTTTCCAAGCAAATTTCTAAGAGATTCAGAAGAGCAAGGGGAAAATCAATACGCTGGATCAAAGACGCAAGGGCAGAGATGCAAACATTGACGGATCGTTTTGGTGCGCCCAGCGAAGACCAAAGAGTTGTTTGAACGAAACTGCAATGAAGCAAGATTCCCGCAAGATGGAGAAGGTCGCGGCTTTGGGACTGCTGCATGATCAAAATTGTATGTCCCAAATGCTCCATAGAGAGATCTTTCAATAAGGTCCTTCGTTGAGGGGTTTCTTCTTCTGAATAGCTTTCATTCGTTTCTTTTCCAATCCAAATTTTTGAACGCTGTTTACAAACATTCCAACACGCTGTCTGTTGAATCCCTTCGCCTTCTTTGCTTTTCCCTGGAGCGTTTTCTTCAGCGAGACGATACAAAAACGAACACTCTGACGATGCTTCAGATGCCGCAAGGAGTGAGAGATCGATTCTGCCTCTTGCCCAAGAATTGAACCTGAACAACAAATTGAATCAACTCTTTAAGCGTCTCTTTTTCTCACTTGCTTAGGGCGAGCGCAAAATGAATTGCAGTTGAAGTCTTGATTTCGATCTGGTTTTCTCCCAATTGGAAGTCTATTTCTTTGATTTGGATTTCAAACTCATCTTCTCTTCCCAAGATTTCAAGTGCTTTTATCTTTTCGATCAGTGCGTCTCCCACCAAGCGGCTCAAACCGTTACCTCTGTGGTCATTTTCCTCATCGGGACGCTCATCGTTAGCATTCTTCGGTGTTTTGGATTCTTGTACAACTTTCTCGTCACCGTCTGGCTTTCGTCTTGGAGTAGCGAACAGCTCATCTGGATTTGAAGGCTTTCCCTGTCGAGACTGAAGGGCATCTCTGAAGGCTTGCGCAATAATGAGAAGACGACTTCCTTTCTCCAGAGCGCGTTCTGAACGCAAGAGCAATACATCAGCAAACGAAGGTTTAGAAGATCCAAGTGGTTTCGACAATGCCACAAACTGCAAGACAAGGTCAAACCAATTTTGAGCGATAAAGTAAGCGACCGCTACAATCGATTGCGTTGGATAAAATCCTTTCTCTTCATAAAATTCGGACAATAAAGATTGCGTCGGTAGAAGGAACACCAATCGAATCAAGGCGAAGACGGACGAAAGACTTCTGTAATCCTCAAGAGTTGTTCCCATTGAACCAATCGCCGTCTTTCTTTGCGGCTTTCTAGTTCCAGATTGATTGAAGGGATTTAATACATTCGATGATGGCAAATTCAATGTCATTCCAAGAACGTCCAAAATCATCGAAATCAACCTGGAAATCGCAGAGAGTCAATGCGCGTTATGAATGACGATTTCAACTCACGGAATGTAATCATGGAAGGAATCAATCGAATTCTCTTTGCATTTGCACAACCAAGCAATAGATTCTGTATCCAATACTTCTAATAAATATTCCAATAATTCTTTGTAAGTTCGATCATCAAAACTGCCTTCAGAGAGTTTCCGACGTCGACTGAATTCATCACACCCCATAACGTCCTCCAACAATACGATCATCAACCGCTTCAACCAAAGACGTATTCGATGATCTTTCTCTCGAGCGTCTGATAAACACAATTGCAGATCCCTTGCGTTCAGCAGATCCCCTCCCAACTCTGAGTCTTCCCAACAAATCCCGTCAAGTTCCTCCATCATCGACTTGTATTCTTTCGAATTTGGGTCCGCTAGTTGTTGATTAAAACGTCCGAGCAATCTCATGATTTGAATCTTATCCAGAGAGGGGGGTCTTGTGTCGCTTGGTTGTTGATCGGTTTCTGTTCTCAAGTTGAAGGACAACCCTTCGACGAGTTCCGCCATAGACGTGCAAAACAGCTTGGTCGATTTTTCACAGAAAAGTGTTCTCTTAGAGGAGGTTTTCTTGTCTTGTCTCCATCTCCACAAAACGTTTAAGAGATCCTCCAGGAGTTCCAGCACTGTCGCCATATTTGTGTCTTCATTTATTGCATTTGAACTACAAACATGAAACTTTTCCGAATATGCAACTGGGACCCGTTTCCACATGGAGGTTAATATCGCGAATTGACTCGAAATGTGATCCAACGCAATAAAATGTAAGATTGCAGGCAGCTTCATGTTCGACGTGGAGTTATTGATCATCACATCAAGTTCAAGAGAAATGTTGGAAGAATCAAGATGTCGGACGAATTGATCATAAAATCTCACGGATGCCCCCAGCAACAGAGAGCACAGAACAGACAGAACAGTTGAGAACCGGGATGTCCCAAGTTCACTGAGAGTCGAAGTGCGACGGATGCGCGTGATGATATCGATTTTCGCAAGATCAAAAAGGAGAGAAATTTGAATGAAGCGATTCAGGACAACGATTGGGTTTGTAGAATCAATAAACCGAGAAGATGACGATTGTAGATGAAGAAGGGATCCTGCATCACTGTCGGATAAGAATCGTGAACAAAAACGGAAGAAGGATACCAGACTGTCGACGAGGGAGGGATTGATGATGGAAGAGACTTGGGGACGAAGAGCTGTCCATTGATCGACTTCTTCACATCGTTGAAATGGAGTTGCGACCCATTTGGCGAATGGTGTTCTTTCATTCAGAGAAGATGTTTCCAAATTAAGAGATACTTGCTCTTTGATCATTTGATTCAATGCGTGAATTAATGTCGGTGATGTAATCAAAGACAAAGACTCGAACAACAAATAACAAACATGGACACCATTCATCTCCTCTAGAAGTTGATCCCTAGGGACATCGCAGCAGAATTGATTGAATGAACGAGCGAAACGAACTCCCCGTCTCAAAAACGTAGCGATCACACCATCATCGCATCGCTGATCCCCATTCATGAAATCCACGTTTTTATGAAGTTCCTCACGACAAACGGATCCCTTAGGAGTGTCCCAACAATCCTCGCCCCCTGGTATCCCACCTGGCTCCTGGTTTTCATTATAAGAATCTTGAATCTCCAATTCCTTCGCAACACTCAAACAATCAGAAATATCTTCATCGATGAGACGGGGAACAACAATTCGAACAGAAGTCTTTCGGCATTTGATGTCGATGGATTGGCGCAACAGAGAGAGTCCAAGAGCTTCAATCATAAGAATAAAAATATCCATTGAATCTTGAATAAGATTTTGGAGTTGTCCACTTAGATAAGAAAACCTGAAAAGAGGCGATTATTAGAAAAATCAGTTGAACATATCAGAATATCTACAGTTGAGAATATCAGAATATCTACAGCTTGGTGATTCAGAAGGCACAATATAGCGAATGACTGGGATTTCTTACATATTCGACATTTCGTTGTAGAGACGGCTGATTCTTTGGCAGCAACTTTCTTGACGATTCTTCATTGCATCACTGCGATAGTACAACGCATCGAGAAATTTCTTGAACTCAGAAAACATCAAGTTGAGAGTGTCAAACTCCCCGCACCAGTAGAGAAGAAATGATGAATATGCGTAAAAGCCGCTCGAATTTAGAGTGACACGATAAACAAAATCGATCCAAGAAATTATTGAGCTGTCAGATTGAGAGCGATTTTGACGGATTCGAGGTGTGGTGTCCCAAAATGTAGGGATAGATTGAACTGCGTCATTTGGGTCGGGAGTGGATGAAAGGCAGGAATCCTTCTCGAGCGAAAGAGTTAGTAACTGCGTCGTGGTCGAAATGGTAGATTGAAACAGTTCGGATAAAAGCGATAAAATTGAGCGCTCATCTGAGTGAAATGGCATCATGAGTATGGGATGGGATGGGATCATGAGTATGGGATGGGATGGGATCATGAGTATGGGATGGGATGGGATCATGAGTATGGGATGGGATGGGATCATGAGTATGGGATGGGATGGGATCATGAGTATGGGATGGGATGGGATCATGAGTATGGGATGGGATGGGATCATGAGTATGGGATGGGATGGGATCATGAGTATGGGATGGGATGGGATCATGAGTATGGGATGGGATGGGATCATGAGTATGGGATGGGATGGGATCATGAGTATGGGATGGGATGGGATCATGAGTATGGGATGGGATGGGATCATGAGTGTGGGATGGGATCAACGCTCCAATTCCCTGATTACCGTCTTCGATCGAAACAGCCTTTGGTTTCCTTGACGATAACTGGGGAAGAGTAGAAGGTCTTGATGACAAATAATTATCAACAAGACTGTTTAGTATTGATTGTAAAGACACAATCTCATCACCAGAATACAATCCATTGGTGTTTCGATGTTTAAGAGTGGGGCCCTGCTGCTTGACTATAAGCCGCTTTATCTTCGACAGAAACTGATAAGAAGCTGTACTGAAGACCATCACTCGTTTGCGTAACTTGCCAACCAAAATATCCGAAAAAAGACTTTCCGTTTCTGTTGAATTTGACATTTCGCTTAATAAGAGAAGGAATCTTCGAATGTGGCGGAAAATTGGAAGAATTTCCGATGAAATAAACTCCCGAGCTGCTGCAACCGAAATGGAAAATAAAATCGCGCAAATTTCATCTTGCGAAAAATCTCTAGAGGGAAGAGTCGTTCTGACGAAACTTGCAAACTCTAAAATTGTTATAATCGAGGGATACGAGAAAAATTTGGGACTAACGATTGAAATTTTCCGCTAAAAGCTCGAGAAAATTGCAGAGAAGCAAAAGTATCAATGAGCCGTTTTGCTGAGTCGATTGTCGAGTGATCGTATCAGAAATATGGAACACTGTGAAGGAGAGAAACAAATATCAGAAGAATAAGCCTGAAAAGTTTCCTACAGACATCCTTTGAATTGATTGAAGAATTATTGGTTTTGGATGACGATGAATCCCCCAAAAGTCTTAAAAGACTTGAAAGACTATTGAACCAGAGAGTTTCATCCGAAGATGGTTGTTGTTGGATAAATAGCGGGAGCAAAGCAGGTGGTTTGTGAGGTGGGGGGTGATTGGAAAAGGGGTGCAGAGAAGGAATTGTAAATCACCTCGAAATAAACAAAATAGAGAATGACACTCGAATAGTAAGAATGATGAAAAAAATACCTCCAGGAATTCCTTTGCTGTGGGAAAGTCGAACGACTTGCTGAACAGAATCTAGAAGGTCTTTTAATTTTTTATATCGAATCGTCGACCGCGAATAGAAGATGAACGATGATTTCATGCATCCAACCCAGATGGTCCACACGGCAGATGCTCGTCTCTTCCATTCATCTGAAAGACGTATTCAACAGCTCTGACAAAGCTGGAAACTAGCGAGACTTTTTTTTCATCCCATTCTTGTTCGATTTGATATTGCAACATGCAAATGAAGAAGAAGGAACGACATTCCTCTCTTCGATTCACTCACCATTATGTGATTCCATCTGGCGACATTTTTGCCATGATTTGTACAACGGAGATAAAACGTTTGCGGCGAAGCTTGGGACTTTCAAGTCGCTTCTTTCTATGAATCCCTATAGAATCAAATGCAGAAGAAAGTCACTCGTCAAAAATCAAACTCAACCATCGCATTCTTACTGACCTCCTCGATCAGCATCCAAAGATCGACTGCCGGAGGAAGGGCGTGTTCCGGGAACTGGAGAAGCTTTTCGAGCGACTGGGTTGGACAAAATGAAGAGGAATGCACTTTGCTCGAACAACCGCCTTCAGGTCACGCTTTCTCAAAATATCCAGTCGCTGTATTTGACCGTCATGCTTACAGCCAAGGCAGGGTCATTCGCAGAGGTTGGATCGTTCGTTTTTGGGACAGGGGACGACAAAATGGGATAAAACCCAAAGAGAAGTAGATGACGCAGACCGATGACAAGAAAGACAAAGTATTCCGAGAAAGATCCATTCAAGGGAAGAAGAGACTCTCCGAAACCATCAGTTGGTTGCCTTTTGCCCATCTCCCAAATTCGTAGAGTTTCTTCCGTCAAATCAACAACTTGAGAAATCGTTTGCACATTAGACCTTTTTTGATCAAGCATGATTTTTTGCACGAACCACAGTTGATCACGGAGATCGCTACGTCGCTTGATCAAATGAGCGGTTCTGGAGGGTTCAACGCATTCCAATGAAATAACATCCAAGGATGCAGCGATCAGAAACGAACAAACCACAAAAAGTTCACGGGCCTGAAAATAACCTCAAGTGGAATCCTTCAACAAACAATTCACATTCTGCAACAATTTTTTGAGATTCTTCCTTAAATCATCCAGACGGCATCCCTCTTCAGCTTTCTTACCCGATTGTCAGCTTTGAGGTTTTGAAGAAGATTCAACGCCAACCCCATAAATTCGATCGACCACAATCTATCCAAGTCAGTGTTTTTGGTCCCAAGCACATTTTGAAAATCTTTGCGATTACAATCTCGGGTTCTTTGAAGAACTGCAGATAAGATGAAATTGTCGCATTATTTTATTTTACCTACCAGTGGAGCAAAATTCGTCAAAATTCAATTTTCGTCGTTCCATTGTTGAAAATGCTAATTCTTCATTTCAAACTCTTTCACACACACTCGATCATGAAGGAACACATAGTCGTCAGGCCCCTGATCAGTTTTACTGATTGGCCCGATTCTCAGAGTTGCAAAGAAAATCTTCGAAATTCAAAACAAAGAAGGGAAAAAACAAGCATTAGACGACAAACACTACAACTAGATCAATGGAGAAGGTTCATGTGCTTCTTCATCTTCTTCATCATCATCGTCATCATCGTCATCATCATCATCATCATCAGGATTCCACGTGTTCTGAAAAATGATCATTACGCCTTCCACATTTATGACACACTCATACCGCATTTTCCGCAGTACACCAATTGCCCGTACTTAAAAGGTCCATTGGATTGGCATCGCTCGCTGGTTCAGAGTTGAGGGCTGACATTTCAGTGAACTTCGTAAACAGACCCTGTAGTGTGCTACAAAGAAGATCAAAATGAACAACCGCTATGGAACACACTTGGCATCAGAGGTGAGAATCGCAACTCGGATACTGGAGGGTACTCGTCATCCATTTCATCCTCAGACATAGAATCGTCAAGAAGGTTTACTGGACGCCCCAAAACCTCTGTTAGTCTTTCAGAAAGACGCGAGTGATGATCCGTGTCGCAATCTAGTTGGCAATAGAGACATGGAATTGGCCAAGACTCTGAAAAAGGAAAAAAAGCTCAAATACACCAGATCACATGTGTTGGTTACCTGGTCTTGGCAAATAGCATGTACTCCCACAGCAGTATAATCGATGGAGAAGTTCAGCGACTTTGGGTCCGAACAGGAAATCCAATACGCTCTACGAAAACAAGGAAATGTCCGACATTGACAGAACAAAGCTGCACCTTTTTGTTCCTAGAAATAAATCTCCGAGTCCCAAATCAAAATGGTTGAAGTGAAGGTGAGTTTGTGGTTGTCGTAGAGACAACTCTTCACCGTCGAGCAGCTCAGGCTGTTGGAAGTCAGTTGGAATTCCAAGCTCCATCGCAACAACAGGAGCACTGTGTGAGTAGGTTCAATAAGCGACACTGAGGATTTAAACTCGTGAGAATGATTTCAATAGAATCATAAGTCACTGAGGGAACAAACACAAAAATAAAGTCAATCACTCAATAGCTTTTCTAATCGCTGAGCTGTCTCTTTCATTTCCTCCGCTTCTAGTGTCCTTTGTTGAACTTTAATTTCCCTAGCTGTTCTAAATAGGAGAGCCTTCAGTTTCTTGAGCATCTCATCTCCCGAAGCCTCTTCTTGACCCGCGTCTGACCCTAAACTTTCTTCGGCGTCCTGAAGCAATAGAATCTCAGCTTCTCTTGCGTCATCATCAGTATCCTCTGCCGGGAAGGGCAGCGATGGGAATAACAAAGCCTGCATTTTTTGGGTCCTGCGAATAGCGTTCAAGATAGCCTGCATTCGGGTCTCAACTTGATGGTCGACCCACGCGGCCAGGAAAGATGTACTGTGAATCAAGAAGGGATCATTGCAATGAGCACGAACGAACACGCCAGAATTTTCTGTTGGAGAATCACGCGCCATCCTCATTTTCTTCCATTCTGCTTTTGACTGTTGTCTTGTTTGTTTTCTTAATCTTTCTGTTAATTTTTCTCGTGAATTTCGTTCTGCAGTTTCTTCCCATATGGACCGATGAAGTCTGAAACAGAAAAACTCAATAAATCGCGCTCGTCTGTGTTCTCAAGGTTTAAAATAAAGCTCCTCGTTCACGTACATGTACAAATCCATAGAAGCTTTTGCATCTTCAACTGGATTATGTTTTCCTTTCTGAATCCGGCGATTCAAATACTGAAGAGCTAACACTCGAAGCTTTTTCCCTGATTCGAAACCAATCGGACTCGATGTGTCTCGAACATCGCAATTTGGATGTTTGTATTTCAAACGCTGCAGTGGCCCATTCAACAGATGGAGATAGTAATGTCCTTATTACCTTCAGATCTCCTGAATATGACAGGGAGATGCAAGGCGGCCATCATATCTATCATTTGGCGCACCATTGACTCCGTGACCAACAACAATGTTATGCTGCATCGCTGCAATCGCCTTCCATAAAAGCAACGCAACGATTTTCAACTCATCCTTCACACCCACCTGATTCCGAATATCAATAAAACCTGCATAGACTGTTTTGGTCATCTCATCATTGTAGAAAACCTACGTTTTCTATTCTTGATTGTCTCGTCAAGCACTACATTTCCGCTTTCATCAACAATAGCCACCCTAGAGATCAACATGTCAAATCGACGCACACTCAAATTCAGACCTTTTGCGGGAGTGGTTTCCATCACAATCGATTGCAACTGCTTTTTTGAAAGCTGTTGTATAGAATCTCGACTGAATCAGAAACAGAGGAGTTGCTCTCGGGGTTATAAAACTTTGGTACAGCAAATTCATTGAATATGTGCGGCAAACTTTTATTCAGCTCACAGATTTGTTAGTTTGAAACTTTATGTCTGTTTTTAGGCCCATTACTAATTCGTAATTCTCTTGTACATCATTCCATCGTGGTCATTTTTGACTTCCACCTTTCAGTTTGATCTCCTTCGCAAATTAGCTGTTAAGGGATACACACTTCAAATCTGATGCATCACACAAATGCTTTGTTTGATTGCTGCCAATACAGAACGTTGGTCATCCAGCGAACACACTGATACAAACATAATTGTTTGATTTAACACAGAAGAGGAAGTGAATTTAATGCAGCTTGTCCGGATTAGACGCTGAAATCGAATCTTGCAGATTGCTGGGAGCAACGTCTGAGTGAATTATGTTTCAACCTTTGCTTTGAAATTAAGATTCTGCCGAGCAGGAAACCAATGAACGAAAAGGAGTCTTCCGACATGCTGTGTCTGCAGACCTGAAATTCAAATCTCATTATTCAAAACATTAATCACATGGATTGATGGACGTGCTGCATTTCAACAACCT